CTCTTCTTCTCATTCTTCTTTTCTAATAGTCAGGCCTAGTAACAGTACCATATTGCAAAGATCCAAGAACAGACATGTAGAGAAAAGGGTCAGGCAGAGGAACTGAGCCATTTTTAGTGAGTTTGCATGTGGACTGCATAGGTGTAGTGACCACAGTAGACTCATGCATGTTAGTTTTGTGTAGTAGTAAGTATAATATACTTGGAGTGGGTGAGCAATAGGGAACCATTGGGGGCATGATTTACTTTAATGCTTAAGAAATAGTTCATGTCACCCAAATGTTTGAGTGAAAAGGCAAGATTCAGCTCGGTGATTATGTCATAAACCAGTGATTTATAGCTATCAGTGATAATAATATCATCTACATACACAAGAATGTAAAAGGTATAATTATTGGAGGAGTAAGTGAAGAGGGATGGATCACATTTGTTGGATCTTAAATGAAGGTAAAGGCGAGCAGCCTGTAATTTTTCAAACCATTGCTTAGGGGCGTGCTTAAGGCCATAAAGAGCTTTATGAAGCTTGCACACCAGAGATGAATTAGAGCTCAAGAATCCTTAGGGTTGCTCCATATAAACCCGATCACTAAGAGAGTCATTAAGAAAAACACTGTTAATATCAATTTGTTGGATAGTCTAATGATGGGCCAAGGCAATTGTAAGTATGATTCTAATAGTTATAGGCTTGACCACATGAGAAAAGGTTTCTTGAAAATCAAAGCCTAGTCTTTGGTGAAACCCCTTTGTAACCAGCCTAGCCTTATATTTTTTTAATTATCCCATCAGGATTTTCCTTAACCTTAAACACCCATTTGCATCCAATAGCCTTCCCGTGAGCAAGAACAAGGACTAGAGACCAAGTTTGGTTCTTGATCAAAGCATCAAACTCAGCCTGCATGGCTGATTTCCACTATACATCACCAAGTGCATGCTTGACTATTTTAGGTTTAGAGTTAGTGAGTCGAAGTCTAGGCTCAAGCCTAGGTTAAATGAAGCTTGATTTTGATCTAGTTTGCATATGATGAGAGCTGATTGGAATATGAGAAATAAGTACTGCTCTAGGGGAAATGTGAAGAGAAGAGTATGATGTACTGACTGATGAAGAAGTGCAGGGAGATGAAGAAGAGGTAGACTGAGTCTCAGAATATTGGGAATTAGAGAAAGAAGATATAGAGAGCGCCTGAAGAGGGCCCAGAGACACAGTTATATTCAGTATGAGGTGTAGTAGGAAGTCATTTAGAGACAAATTAAAACCAGGAAGAAGTATTGTTCGGTAGAAGAGGAAGACATGGTGTGTGATGTAGGAGGAGGAGATTTAATTAAAGAGGACATGGGAAGAGGTGATAAGGTGACACTTTTAGGTGAGGAGGCACCAGTACTAACTGCAGGAAATAGATAAACATAGGAAAATCTAGATTCATTAAACATTATATGCTTAGAAATATACAATCTGCCACTTAAAGAAAGGTGCCTATAGCCCTTATGAGAGGTAGAATAACTCAAGTTTATGTGCATGGTAGGGTCTAAGAAGGGGAAAACAAGCACATCCAAACACCTTCAAGAAGTGATAATCAAGTTTGGTTTTAAACAACACTGTATAGGGAACCTGAAACTAAATGATGGCAAAGGGTAACCTGTTAATGAGGTAAATTGTAGTAGAAAAAGCATAGTCCCAATATATAAGAGGTAAAGAAGCTTGAATTAATAAGGTGAGGCTAAGATCTACAATGTGTCTATGCTTCTTCTTAATAACACCATTTTAGTGATGAGTATGAGGGAAAATAACCCTATGATCTATACCAAGTTTAGTTAAAAACTTTTTGAAGGGTCTAAACTCCCCTCCCCAATCAGATTGTACAAGTTTAATGGGAAAGCCATCTTGTAGCACAACCATAGATTTAAATTGTTTAAAGGTAGTGATAGCCCCATACTTTGATTTAAGAAGATATAGCCATGTAAATCTAGAATAAGCATCAACAAGAGACATATAGTAGGAATAGCCAAAAGTAGATAAGCTAGGGGAAGGATCCCACAAATCACAATAAACCAATTCTAAAGGCGTATTGTGCGATTTGTGAGAGAGAATAAGGCAATTTGTGGGCTTTACCCATATAACATGCAGTACAAACCATGTTATCTTCTTTTAAATGCAAAAGAATATTACAAGATTATAATACAAGTCTTAAAGAGTTTACACTAGGATGACTTAGACTAAGATGCCATACATTAGGCATCTTAGACCCTATACAAGTAGAATTAACACTAGGCAAATTATTATTTGAAGATACACCTGACACAAATAAGCTAGAAGATTGTGAAGGAGAATATAGTGTTATAGATGGAAATTCATAAAGGCCATTAGTCCCAACATGACCTTCAAGAAGTACTGCATCATAATCATGTGATTTAACAAGGCATTTATCAGCATTAAACGGGAAATAAATATGATTATCTTTAGAAAATTGAGTGACACTGATAAGATTCCTAGTGATAGAGGGAACAAGAAGAAGCTTATTTAGTGTAAGTTCTGTGTGAGTGTGAACATGGGAGGAAAAGGAACTAGATCTAGTAGAGGATATGGGCAAACCTTGTCCATTTCCAATGTAAGTTTGATCAGGACCTTTAGAGGGAGTTGACTGCTAAATGTTTTTGGCATCACCATTTACATGATAAGAAGCACTTGAGTCAGGAAACCAGGAAGAAGATGTGGAAGGTAATGAGTTGGCAATGAAGGTACTAGGAGGAGCTTGTAAAAGAGGTGGAGGCCTGATGATAGATGGATGTATGTTTTAGACATTGTTTCCATAAGAATAGCCATGCTAGGATTGTTGAGGACTGCCAAAAGAGGTGTTGCCATTGTAGGAAGCGGATTGAAAATTCTGATTAAATTTGTGCCAGCAGTTCAGTGAAAAGTAGCCAAATTTAGAATAGACCTGACATTGAATAGCAATGTTTGAGAATCTACCTCCTCGTCCTCTTCTAGACCTAACTTTTCCTCTATCATAGCTGCCATGAAGAGCTTGATAGTCATTGTCATTATCAGGAGTTGGCACAAGAGATAGAGATGACTCTGAGCTGGCAGTTTGACCTTCATCAGGAGAGGGGATTTGAGGGAACGGTGTGAGTAAGATTGGGAGAGACTAAGTCAGGAATAGTTGTTTTCTTAAACTTAGATAGGCGTAGTTCATGGGCAATGAGAAGAATTTCCACCTCATCAAGATTCATAACTCCTAACTTACTCTCAACAATAGATACAACAGGTGCATAATCAATAGGTAATCCCTCAAGGATGACATCAATGTGATCTGAATTCAAAACAGGATCACCAATTGAATGTGATAGCATGATCTAATCTTTCTGAAACCAGATTGAATACTCGGGATTGATCGTACCTTAGTTGTGAGCAGCATCATCAAGAAACTGAGGTGGAATTCGTGCACAAACGACGAACTCAGTGAGGTTATATGCATTGATGTACGACTCCACTTGTTGGTGCCATAGAGGAACGTTTTTTTCATCGAGCTTCTGAGCGATTTTGAGAGCGAAATTGAGATGGCGCAAATTATCATTCGCAGACGACGCGATTGGGATCGAAGTGTCCGTGATATGAGCGAAAGACGACGACGACATCGGTGGTGTAATCGTCATGGCCAGAGATCGGGTTAGCAATATAATACCATGTTAAAAATTATAGAGATACAATCGTGAAATTCTATTGTAACTGATTTACTATTTTTCATTGATTGAAGTTAGTTAAAACTAATTACATTTATATAGGCAATCATATAACCTAAAGTAGCAAGTTACTTAACTAATTGATACCGACAGCTGTCAATGAATCCTACTAAGCTAGCTTATCTCTAATAGATTACACAAGCTTATGGTATATTTTGATTGGATATCAAATTTATAACAAAAATATTGCCTAGGAGAAAAATTTATAAATGTCATGAGTTAGGCCAAAAAATTTTATAAATGTCATGAGTTAACCCAAAACTTAACACACAGACTCACCTTCCAAAAATACAAAGGTTTAACTTCCGTCTTAAAATTCGACAAAATGGAAGTTGCACACTTACGAAATTGTTTTGGTGTGTATATAAGACGTACGGATGTTAACTTTTGTATTTTTCCAAAGGCATTTTTGAATTTCCTAATAATGGCTCTTCCCCACTAAGGGTGGAAACAACAATTCCCTATATTAAAGCTAACAAATTCTAGAACACTCCCAAACTAACTCTAAACCTAGGCAAAAATGCACAGGTTAGGCTTTAACAACTAGCTGTTAGGAACAGTTGGCAGTGCAACAACATAATCAATTAATGTTTGATAACTCCAATACATATCTTAAATTTTATAGTGTTTCGATATTCCAGAGACTTGAGTAGTACTCTCTCCTCGGTCCTAAATATAAATATAAGAGAAAATTAAATTAATAAAAATTATACTTGATCCCAATTGCAACATATTAGCAAATTTGCATCTTTTACCAAAGCACTTGACAAATAAACAGTCAATCTTTCAAATAGCAATCCCTTCATCAGATTCATTAGACAAGTTGTTCTTAACATGTCAAAAACACACACCATCATATTGATTAAGGGGTGTAAATGGTCAAGGAATGGACATAGTAAGGGTAGCAAAGCAACCATGTGTATATTAACTATCATTAAAGATTTAAATATTGCTCATGGCACCAAAAAATTAATTATAGAGATGATAGCCCAATCTGTACAACTATGCTGGAAGAGATGATTGCCCAATCTATAATCAGCATATGACTACTATATACAAACTACTATATACAGCATTTCTTTGTCTGTCTTGACTCAACTTTGCTGCCATTTCTTAGTCAGACGAAAACCAAGAAAGTGGGAACCAGAAACTGTTGATCATATTGAGAATCAATTTAGCAGTCTCCCCAAAACTGTTAATCCACAGAGCTGATAGAACAGTAAATCCCCGGTTTAGGAAAAATATTAGGTCTGTCTTGACTTGATTCTATTTTGGAACCTCATCTCGTGGAGGTTGAAATTGGGTTTGCTCTGGGACCTTAGTAGCTGACCCGGTAAGAGTCTCTTCAAACATTTCATTCACGTTCTTCTTTGTTCTCTTTGGTCTCTTGGGTCTCTGAGCGGCTGGATCAGTATTTAAGTGGACACCATCCAATTCGTCGTCCCTAGGTGTGGCATCAAATTCACTAGTCTTTTGTGAATTCTTTGGTCTCAAAGTTTTCTTATCTGAAGCAGCTTTTCTCTGCAAATAAACATCATGTTACAAAGTTGAAAATAGCAAACTCATAAAATAGGTACACCTAAAAGTTAAAATATTATCTATCACCTAAATGATAAAACCAATAAAAATACTACAGATTTTGATTCTCTACAGTTATATGATGATCTGGTTATAAAAGATGAAATCACAAGTTTCACTCCCGATGGTTTGAGGGTCCAACAGTTATATTGAAAGTTAACAGAGTCTTTTCTAACAGGGCCTTCTGATATTTAAACAGCAATATAGAATCCGTACCCATATACTCCATTCCCTGCAATTTTCTTCTCATGGATCCACAGATCGGAGGGTGAAATGTATCAATTGATCCGGTAAAACAGATCAAATATGAATCCATTTAATGCACACATCTCCTTCACTCAATTTTAATGAATTTTTTTCTTAGCATCCTTGAAACAGTACAGCTTATCCAGTATCCACACAACAAAACTCAATATATTTCCTAGACCTACAGACTATCAAGAGAGAATACTCAAGACATTCGAAATCTTTTGAAGTCTTATCATTTTACTTCCTCCAGTTCAAGATACGGAGTTTTGCTGAAAGGAATAAAGATTAAGAAAAGCAAGTCAAGCCTTAATTATGAGTTTTATTTTACTAGAGCTTGAAATAAATGATAATTACTCAACAACTAGAGCAACAGAAAATGATTAAAAAAACTTTCAAAACAAACTTAAAACAGGTTTTTAGAATGGAACCAATTGACACGAGTCTGAAACAAAATGATTGAAATGAGATTCAAAGCATTTACAAAAATCAATGAGCTAAGAAGCAAGGTAATACCTTTTTATTACTGGATTTTGATCCCTCTGGGTCTACGGCAAGATCATGATCTGCTGTACCCAGGGCTACAGAGTTCGATACATCTTCCAGAGATGCATCACCATCTTCATTTACCAAAATACCCTTCATAGGTTTTTTCTTTTGCTTATCCCTACCCTGGAAGGATAAGTGAGGTCAAATATAATCCGGAGAAAATACTCAAGAAGGTTGTTTTAGGCTTTTTGGAACATAATTTAATCCTTGTTTTTTTAGTTGGTGAGAGGGACATTCAACTACATAATGTAAAACAAATGAATTCTAGTGACCAGATTTCACAACCAACTGCCCATAAAAAGAAAAAGAGTTCACAACCAACCTGGACAGTTATAGCTTTAAATTTCTGCTGCAACTGAACATCATCCAGAAGCAAAGATACCACATCCTCAGGAGCTAAAAGATCACCACCAACAGAACCACCAGTCATGACAAGATTCTGTACAGTACTTTTCTGACTAGCTCTGAGAAGAATCTTCTCTTCAACTGTCTCTTTACATATAAGTCGGTAGACAGTAACCTACAATTTGAAAATACATCTAATGTTAGTTTTAAATTAAGAAATTAAGAACTTAAAAACTCAAGGAATAGCTTCTGTGTCTGTGCAAGCAAAATTGTGTAAAAATCAGGAAAGGAAGGGAAGCAACAGTTCCAAATGTGAAAGAAAGAAAAAAGTCAAGGACCAATTGCTGAGATCCTAAAAAAATAAGCAACATCACATCAATAGAACAATCAACAGATAAGTGCACATGAAGAAGGGAGAGAATGAAATGGAACTAACATCTTTTGTTTGACCCAAACGATGAGCTCTGTCCATTGCCTGTAGATCCAATGTTGGATTCCAATCACTCTCGTAAAATATGACTGTGTCAGCAGCTGTCAAGTTAATACCCAATCCACCAGCTCTTGTACTCAGTAAGAACACAAAAATATCAGCCCTACAACAAACGAATAAAAAGCTATATAAAGCTACATAATGAAATAAGTAGTGTTCAGTATTCTAACTAGAGTACAGCCTGTTTCTCGATAGCTCACATGATTGTTTAGAGACAAATTAATCCTGTGGGTGCTCAGTTCGAAACTTGGCACGGGTTTAAGAGATAAAAAAAATTTTAAAAAAAACTAGAGCACAGTATGGAAAAATTACTACAAAGTATACATTACCTGTGCTGAAAGTCTCTGACCATGTCTCTGCGGTCCTGAATAGATGTTGATCCATCAAGTCTAAAATACTTATATTTTCTGTAGTTCATATAGTCCTGTAAGATGGATTAAAATACCGGTAGGCATAAGTCCACTAAGTTGAATAAAATGAATAAACTCTAAATAGCAATATCAAAAGGTTTATCAGTGAAAACTTTAAAATACCTCCAAAATATTTAGCATCTTGGTCATCTGAGCAAACAAGAGAACGCGGTGATTTCCTGCTCTTAAGCGTTTCAATAATATATCAAGTGTTTGAAGCTTCCCAGAGTCCTATATTTAAATTGTTTAAATTAGAAGATCAATTTGACACAAAAGTCAAGAGATGAAGGAGTACTTCTCGAGAAACAAACAATAAAGAGGGCGGGGAAGAAAACTTACAGTAAGCAATTTTGCTGGGTCAAAGTTTTGCATAGGTGGAGAAGACCCAAAAATACTGTGTGTTAACTGAAGAGCAGGTTTACAGACAGATTGTTCAGAGTCGATTTCTTGAATTAAATGATGAGAACCATCTGGCTTTCTAGGCCCATTACAATCAGATGTACGGGCAAATCCCACAAACATCCTCTTAACCCATGGATCATGTAATTCCTCAATCATGTTATAGTAGAAGTTCCTATCAGAGCAGTGAGCACCAATCTAAGAAAGAAAAAAGAAACATGGTTGATAGTTAATTATCATTCTGTTTATAGAAGACTACTTATTTTCGAAAAATAAACAATAGACTAGATAATAAAGAAACATAACATACTGGGGGTGCTCTACTTTTTGGAATATATGTGTAAGCTGAGTGGAGAAGCCTTGCATTTGATAAAATCCTCTCCTGATGTGGGACAACCAAGGCCTCAAAAGGAGCATGGCTGAGTCCCGTTGGCAATCTGTTTTGAAGAAACTTAGTCTCAGATCTCAACGGTACCAACAACATTCGAGTAACAGTTCTCACTTTTCCTTCTTCAAGGTAGCTACATTCCAGATCATCAATTATGGTCTCCGTAAGAAAGTCTAAAACTTCATTACTGAATTTTTGTTCCCATCTCATCATAGAAAATAACAGTCGCTCCATAAAAGAACCAGTAACCAGAAATGTCACCTCTTGAGGAGACAAACCCATCAAATGGGTAAACCCAAAGGTTCCACTTTTAACATGCATATCTTCTGAGAAGACAGATTTATAAATGTTTTCTGGTCTAAAAATATTAAAATACTTTTGAAAAGATTCTCTGCAGATACCATGACCAACATCTGAACTGAGAGTTACAGACCTCCGCAAAATTTCTTGATAGACAAGTTTAGGTATCTGAAAAAATGGGGCAAAAACATTAAGAATGGAGGCATTCTCAATATAATGAATTATAGGGGGGGAAAATTCTATATAAGGCTGATCAGATGTCCATAGAAGATAAGCCATTATAAGTCAGGCATGTTATAAAATTGTGACATACATCAAGAATAGATAAAAGCTTAAAATGAAAGCATTGATAAAGCATTAAAGCTTCTATCATCCTACGGACATGCATGGTGTACCTCAAAATATCCGAAAAAGATCCATGGAGCATGTCATAAAATTAGTTAGTATCTAATTATGTAAGCAATTTTATTGAGTTCCCTTAATTTATTATGGTGATTACCATTAGTCTTATTGTATCAAACCTAAAACTATAGCTCGAGGATTGCCCACGTCTTATAGGGACTAATTTTTTTCCATATCTCAAGTGGATGTGAGATCTTAAGTCTTAACTTATCCCCCCAATCCAAGGATAAGCACATACACATGGGGTGACGGATATCAAACACATGACACCTAGGATTAGACCCTCAGAGCACGGATAAATGTGGGCAACCCAATACCAGATCTAAAAAGACTTAGATACCATCTGAAGTTTAGGCTAGGCTTAAATCAACCCTGAAAGCTAGCTCGAGGGGTGAGCAATGACCAAACCTTTGTCTTAGAATGTGTGGATTGGGCCTAACTCGTCTCTACGAAACTGGTTTCTAAGGCGAGGGTTCCACTTATAAACATATATTCCACCCACATATTGTTTGATGTGGGACTCTTAACACACCCTGTCACGTCTAGGAATGGACATCTGGAGTGTGAATATAAATGGTGGGTGGCCCGTTAGCGGAAACCTAATAGCGGGTGGCCCGATAGCGAAAACCTAATAGCAGGTGACCCAATGGTGTAAGGACTCATTCGCCATATTTCTAGATGATGCGAGATCTCACAGCTCACGGCACAGAACTGGACATTTGGAGTCTAAACAGATGAGGTAGGCCCAATAACACTATACCTCTTGACTATGTCAAATTGAAGCCCTATGATGATATCTAAATTAAATAGTATTTTGTATATAAAGGAATAGTGTATTTTTTATGTTCTAGCATATTCTAACATATTTTATTGTTATTAATGTCGTAGATTGTATATTGATTTGTTTCTTAGCCTGTATAATTGAATCTTGTAATGTAGTTGAAACACAATTTCACCGTGTCTCTCCCTTTTTATCTCATTCAACATGGTATCTAGAGCCTATTGTGAGATAACTCTAAATCATGTTTACCCGATTGACCCATTGTCCTTCTCTATTGTCCCGTCCCCTTTTTTGGCGAGTATTGTTCGTGTGATATTGTTCACTAAACTGTACTGTCCATCGAGCATATTCTTCATCTGGCGTACCACTGTTCATCGCGGAAATTCCTCTTCGAGTAACATTTCGCTGCTAGTTTTAGTTATTTGTTCAATGTTTATGGCTGTTTTCAATTCCTGTGGACAATCACCCACCTCCAAAGCTTGTCCCAACTGTAAGTATTGTCACCGTTTTAGGACATACTATTGTTTGGTACAGGAAACTCCGTGCCTGCCCTCCAAGTCCTCAGATCGCTCAATCTGACACTATCCAGACTATTGATCCTCCTGAGGCCTCTCTGGCTGCTACTTGCGAAGATTTTCTCTATTGGGTAAAGTATCGTCATAACTTAAGATATGTTGTTTTGGTTGCACATATTGGTCAATTATTTGCTTGCATCCTTGAGTCGCCTTTTCTTATTCCATGGATTCTCGATTTCTAGTGTGTCTCGCCTCATTACTGGTAATAAGGCTCTTTTGTCCTCTCCCTACATCTAGTTACTTAGTGTAGTCTCAGCCTATGGTTCCAAAACACAGTCCCAAGAGATTGGCACTGTCCAAATCCTCTCTTCTGTATCAATTACCTTTGTCCTTTGCATGCATGGACATCTGTTTAACTTCTATTAGTTGATTGGCTCGTTCTCAGGATTGGGTTGTCACCTTTGCTAATGGCAATGTTACTTTGTAGGATCAGATTTCATGACGACAGATTGGTGTCGAATGTGAGTTCAATGGCCTTTGTTATCTCTCAATCCCATCTACGATGTGCCCTACCATAGATAACCCCTCAATCCCATCTACGATGTGCCCTACCATAGATAACCCTCTTAGTATACAGGCTCAGTGGGTCACCAAAGTCTTCTCAAACTTCAAATGTTGGTCACTATTCTTTTCAAATTATTTGGTTTGTATTGTGAGTCATATCAATTAGGAAAATGCACAGATATTTTCCTAATCGAGTCAATAAACGAGGTTTATTCTCATTTTCCCAACTATTGCCACTTATGAGTTGAGCAGTCATTCCCGAATAGCTTTGCGGAGCGGCCGACCCATTGGTGATAGCGGGATGACCGCTCTATTTGATCATTTTTTTGGACAAATTACATATAATAATTATAAACATGTGTTTAATGTATAATTAAACAAATAACTCAACTCATAAAATATTAATAAATCAAAGCACGCGTGACTCTTGAAGTGCATAAACGACTACGAGGAAAGGTTAAGGTTGAGTCTCAACTCAAATTTGATTGAAAACCTCAAAGTTACCCTTAAAATATTGTAAATTTAAGGGGCAATTTTGGTTTTTTAGAGGGCAAAAGGATAACAGGTCAGAAACCGCTCCGGACCAGGAATTGCTCTACTTCGCTATCTCGCTATTTACCCTATAGCAGTCGCTATAGTGTTCTACACCGCTAAGGATCTTCCCCTAGGGGTCAGCCTCTGATCCGCTCTGCTATGGCGGGATAGCGCCGCTTTTGGCCGCTATTGACTACCTTGCTTATGAGTCAAAACATTGTTACTTTTATCGATGATTTTTTCCATTGCAAATGATTTTCGCCTAAGCAAAAGTAAGACGGAATATATGGAATATAAGTTCAACAAAAGAAGAAGTGTTTCTAACTTAGAGGTGATAGTTAGATATCATATTATCCTTCAAGTCACACGGTTTAAATATCTTGGATCCGTAATACAGAATGATGGAGAAATAAAAGGGAATATAAACCATCGAATTCAAGCTGGATGGTTGAAATGGAGAAAGGCATCAGGTGTTTTATGTGATGCAAAGGTATCGCTCAAGCTGAAGGAAAAGTTTTATGGATTGCGGTAAGACCTGCAATTTTGTACGGGACAGAATATTGGGCGGTTAAGAATTAACACGAAAATAAAGCAAGTGTAGCAGAGATGAGGATGTTGCGGTGGATGTGTGATAAGACTCGACAGGATAAAATTAGAAATGAAATTATTAAAGAGTGTCGGGGTAGCGCCTATAGTAGAGAAGATGTTGAAAAATAGACTTAGGTGGTTTGGGCATATGGAGAGAAGACTTGTAGATTCTGTAGTAAGGAGAGTATATCAGATGGAAGACCTAGAAAAACTATAAGAGAAGTTATTAAGAAAGATCTTGAGATTGATGATTTGGATAGAAGTATGGCCCTTAATTAAACATTATGGCGAAAGTTGATCCATGTAACTGACCCTAGCTAGTGGGATAAGGCTTAGATGTTGTTGTTGTATTCTCTAGTTTTTAGCAATTTTGTCATGAAATTAAAACTTGGTTTGGCGTGTTCGTTTAGTCTTCGCATAGTGATAATGTCATAAAATATTTGTCCCATTAATTTCAAAAATTTATGGCCACTAATAGGATTCTTCACCAAACACCATGTGCCCATACACCTTAGCAAAATGAGGTAGCCAAACGGAAAAAAATCGTCATCTTATTGAAAACACTGGAACTATTCTCCTTCATGGTAATGTTCAATCTCGTTTTTTAGATGTTGTCTTATCAGCATGCTATCTTAGAAATTGCATGCTCTTTTTTGTCCTTGGAAACCAATTTCTCCACTTGGTTCTCTTTTCTTATACCCTTCTAGACTTCCATGTGGCTTTTGGGTCCACATGTTTTGTCGACCATCTCTCCCAATCTAGACAAACACTAAAGTCAGATCACTCAAGAGTGTCTTTCTTGATTAGCACCGGTCTCAAAATGTTATTGTTACCACTCTTTTAATCTTTGACAGCACCTCATTTCGACTAAACTTTTTTTGATATTGTTTTATAGAGTTGACCTGGTTGACCCTCTTCTTGCCGATGTGTCTACCCCTCCTACTATTTTTGAGAACGTGGTGTTTGTCTCACTTAAGCCAACTTTTGCTATCCCTCTCCCAAACCCTCGTGTGAACCCCTGCTCCACAACCTTTTCAGACATACCATCACCGTCAACTACCTTATATTGTGAATGTCTCCATGTGAAGGCAAACAATGATGGACGAGATGCCTTCTCTCCAAAGCAGTGGTACTTGGAAACTGATTTCTCTATACCCGGAGAAGTCTTAGGTTGTCGCTACATTGGCTTTACACGGTAAAGGTTAGTCCTGATGGTAAGAGTGATCAATTTAAGGCTCATTTGGTGGCCCAATAGATATACTCAGATTTTTGGGTTGGATTTTAGTGATACATTCTCACTATAGCGAAAATGACATTAGTTAAGATCAGTTTGAATAATTTAAAACTAACGGAATGGAGCGCAGCGAAACAAAATAGAATAGAGCGGAATGGAACGGAATGGAACATAAACTTCATTCCATTGTTTGGGTATTTTAGGACGGAGCAAAACTAATATCCCACTCCACTGTTTGGAAATTGGACGGAGCAGAAAGCGTTATAATATTTTTACTTTATTTTTACCCTTACTTCAAAAACATTAATATGGTTAATATAAAATTTTAGAGGACAAAATTGGAATTGTGTTATTAATTTATTTCATTCTCTTAGAATGTGTGGGTTGGGCCTAACTCAACCCTACAAAACCGGCTTGTAAGGTAAGGATAGCCCCTACTTATAAACCCATCTTCAAGCCATATATTGTCTGATATGGGACTCTTAACACCCCGCTCACGCCCAGGAATTGCGTCTGGAGCGTGGAACTAAATGGTAGGTGGTCCAATGGA